TTTTCCCTTAATATAATTAATATAAACACTTGAGTTTGAAAAATTAAAGAAATAAAGAATTTCTTCCGACATAAGATTTTTCATTATCTTTTGAGAGATGTGACATAATCTCTTGTACCATAACGAAGCGAAATTCTCATGGTTAATTTATGTTTAATATCACGTGAATTCACATGCAAAGTTTCTTTATAAGATACAAGCGTATTAAGCAAATATATATTATCATAACCGGATATGGAATTGGTACCCACAATATTTGAATTAAGAAAAAATTAACTGATTATTTTCAATTGAACAAGAGAAATCGAATTTGTCCAATATAGAAATAGAAATCAAATTCCCTCTAAAAAGACGGTACATCAAATGTTTCCTTCAAATCCAAATAATAACTAGTTTTTAATGATAAATTAAAGTCCCGAAAACCTCAACTTTAACTGATTTGCCGTCGCCCCACATAGATGAATCTTTTAGCAACAATTGGCTTTGGCTATTCAAGCAACCCCGCATAGACACACTTATATGAGTAGTGGTACCGAAATTTATCCACCAAGTGTGTTTAGGTAGTGACACTAAATTAATTTTAAAATAAACCCAAGTAAGAAGTGTATTTTTCTTTATATGCCAGCGTGATATTTAGTACCGTCTCTCTTTATATATCCCAGATTTTCACAAAAATAACAATCAGATTTATCATTTTTAAGCTTTCGCTGTTTATTTTGAACCGAACCAGATACAACTTTTCTTATTATTTATTACTTGTACTTAAAGGTATTTGCAAAGTTAATAATATCAGTTTTATCTTATTTTAGTCTTTCTCTTTTTTCTTACACACCATAGGGAGTGAGTTCGTTAAGAGTCTAATTTCCTTTTCGACAGTTGTAACTGATCTTAAATTAGCCAAATTGTACAAGAATATAAATCAAAACTAAATGCACGAGCAAGTCATCGAACAACTTAGGCTTTAATGCTTTTAGTCTTTAAACAAGATGAGACATATCCATGATGTACTCCCTTATGTTTTCTTTAGCCTTATATTTTAGTGAAATCAAGTTCGCCAAAAACGTACTAGTTTCGACCTTATTGCCATTTGTAAAGATTTTTTTTCAATTTCTTTAAGAAATGGTTTGGCAGTAGTTACCTCATCCGACACAACGCCCTTGAATGTTGTTGGAATTTCACGCATCATGTTCATAAGACTTATACGACTTAAACGATTACACTTATTCGAGTCCCTTTTATTAGAGGAACTTTTATCCGTAAGATTAGTGGGTTATTCAATCCTTAATGCAATGTTTAGATCGATACCGCCAAGAATGAGACAAACGTTCTCTTTCCAACTCTTAAACTTTAGTTTAAGCATGTGAATTGAATTGATTATGGTAGATATTGTAAAAGTAGATGGATTAACCGAATATAGAACTTAAACTAAATAACATGTTCACGTAGGAATCCTAATTGGACAATCAATAATTTCAAATAATGGTGAACTCCATCACAAGAGACCGAGCACAATATTGATATTTAGTCTTTGAACATAAGTACCAACTTGTAAGTGACACTCTTGGTGTAGTAATCAAATATTGACAATAAATTCAGTCAAGTATGAAGTCTATCTTTGGATCGACTCAATATTCACATAATGAAAAACTTTACAATTGTCACATATTTATCACCACAGGTGTGTAAATAATTCGGTCAAATATTAACATTCTTTTGGGCCGGTCAATATCTGTATGAATTACGTACACATAATTTTCCTAATATTCCAAATAAATTAATTTAAACAAGAGATGTTACTTTGGTAACATGTTGTTTTAACTAATTTATTTTAGAAAATTAGTAATCTGAAATAAATTTAAATATCAAGATTTGAAATTGATTGCCACATTAATCATTATTTATTTATTTTATTTATTTAACGCACGTGCTTAATCATTCACACCGACAAAGTTGTTGCCATAAGTCTTTTTTTTTTTGTACAGTGCTTAATTCAAAATAACAATAATCAATTATAGTTGTACACAAATTCAACAATTAAGTCCCAAAATCGTAAATTTTGAAATTTAGGATTAAAATTCACATCCCAAAATCAAAAAATCCAAAGTATGAATTTCAACTCAAAAAAATATTTATTGAATTTCAATGGTTTAACATGGTGTTAACTCTGATACCATTTGTTGATACTTTATAAAACTTTAAACTTTATAAAATTAGAAAAGCTAATTGTTTAATTACCAGATCCTCTACGTCAAATCATCACGAAAATTAATAGTGCGGAACATACTTTAATTATTTGTGAATAATTTCTTATTACGGGATCTTGATTCCGGATCTTGAATCTTTATTGTTGGCTCTTTTGGTTTTTGAGTTCTTGATCTTGATTTTTGCTTCTTACTCCATAATTTTGATTGTCTTGTTCTTCAATTTAATTGTTCCGATTATTTTTCTTGATTCTTGATTATAATCTAGATTCTTGATTGTGAGTTTTTTTATTCTCTTTTTCAATATGCTTTCTCTATTAATTCTTGTATTGATGGGATGATATAAAGAATGATAAATTGCATATGAATTGGGGACCATAACCCTATTTATAATTTCCATTTTTATTTGGTCAATCGTCAAATACAACACTAATGGATCTGATATCTACACATATAATCCGGCCCTCACTTTATTTAAATGTCTTAGCCCAACAACTTAATTATTTATTCCGTCACTTTAATTGGGCTCAACTTTAAAATAATTTTATACACAATTAATTACATATGTACACATAACAAATTTAAGAATTTTGAGTTAAGAATTAAGTCCTTGTTTGATTTTTATAAAAAAAAAGTTTAGCAAAAAAAGACAAATTCATTTTTAACCTTATGTTGTTCCGATAAAATAATTTTGCATCATAAATTTCTCTTTACTTTTAACTACGAATTCTATTGAAAAATCACTTTTCAGAAAATCAAAACCAAACAAGAGCTAAGTCAAAACTAATACCATTTCAATCTATGAAAAGTCTAGCAAATTTCTTTTTATTTTTAAGTTTTTTCTTTTCTCTCACCAATTATGGGCTTGAACATGTAATGCAGTTAGCACTGCTCATGTTCTTTTTCACTTTTCTAACGTTGATTTAGGTCTGTAATCAAAATTGTTGGTGATGATATCAAAAAATTACATGAACAATCAAAAATGCAGAGAGACTCGTAATGTCTATTGGGTTCATGATAGGCCCAATATTATTGAGTTGTAGATAGACCACATTGATGATTAATTTTTAGCTTGTTTGACGGAAATTATTTTAGAAAAACAATGTTTTGAATAGTGAATTTTTGGATAATGTATGATTAAAAAGTAAGAAAATTTTTTGGATTTATGAGCAGAATATATTATTGTGTGAATGTGTGATTAAAAATGAATATGTAATGGTTGTCAAATAAGGACTTAATTTGAGTTCTATTAATTAGAAATCAATGCTTGGTACATCGAAAATCTTTAAACTTGCATGCCATTTAAAGAACAATTCATAAAATACATTAAAGATAGTCTGCTTTAGACCTATAGTAAGATATACACAAAATGGAGCGATATATTTCATAGTTACGTACTTTCACAGCTTTAGTTCAAATATTCTGTCGTTTTTCCAAAGATGACTTTTTTCTTTGTTTCTTAAAATTAATCCCGTCCTACCATGCTGGCTCCTCGTGGTTCGTTGGGCTGAATCGTCCAATCTTGAGACAATCTGCCCAAATAGCATGCCAAATTGAAAACGAGACTAGAATCATGTTCGGCTGGTCTTATCTAGTTCTTAGCAGGTTGTCACTCCTCCCTAGTCCATCTAACTGAGTTCCACTCTCCTAAAAGAAATAAGATTACGCTACTTTGTCAAAAGGATTTTGACACATGCAATGTTAGAAGTGTAGGTGGCAGCAAATGATTTGACAGAAAAGTTGACTGTATTTTAAATAATCTTATGATAAAATATCATGTGACATTATGTCAACCTATGTGAAACTGTATTATGATTGAAAGAAATATATATAAAATATTTGGTACTATTATCTGGTCAATTGGGATCCAAGTTAGGTGTGGATTCGATCCATGGACATGCCGAACAAGTTTACACCACCATCTTACAAAAAAAACTACATAAATTTAGATGCCCAGGCATGTCCCTCCCTTGCTCCGTCCCAATGCCGTATCTTTGTCCGAATTTACTTGTCAAGACCGGCAAATTCTATCTTTGTCCGAATTTACTTGTAAAGGCCGGCAAATTTTGTTGGTGCTGGGTAAGTGACAAATTAAGCAAAAGTTTTATATAATAAGACATCGTAGTTTTCACTTTACGTGTCGATCTCTGCCAACGAAATGGCCAAGTTTCAGATCTTTTTCCATCTTATCATCACATTTGGTGCCAGTTTTTTACAATTCTGTGGTAAGTACACAAATCCTTAGCTCTAAAGTGTGTGTGTATATACATCTGCAAGAAGGGAAGAATGTCAGTTTATCTATAAAGTGTATAAATTATGTTTAAAAAAATTAAGTTTATCCAAACATGCATAAGATTCCAAGCCATTCTATTGTATTCAAGTTCTTTTCTAGTCTTGAAGAATTTGTCCCATCTCTAATGGCTTAAGTTTCACTTTCACCCGAAAATTGTGTACCTTGTTGGGCATTTAAAGGAAGGATTATGTCATTTATACACACATTTTTGCCACCCTTGTTGACACCAGCTTATGTGTTAAAAATCTGGCCATTTTTTGGAAAAAGTATTGTTAAAATGGATGTATAGAATTCTGCCAACTCAAGTGAGTGTCAAACTAGATATAAAGATAGGTGTATGTGTATCATAACTCTTAAAGGAAAATTGACTTCAAACAGCACGTGAACAAAAGTCTTAAAGAGAACAAAAATAAATAAATAAACTATCATCACAAATGATTTTCTTGAATCTTTTTCTGTAAAAATGAGGAATATATCCATTTGTGATTCCAGATGGAAAGGTGCTGATGGAGTACATTGGAGCCTCAGGCGTTGATATAGAATTCACATCAGTTCCAATTTCACAAAGCATTGATTTCCACTTCATACTCAGTTTCGCCATTGACGCAGATTCTTCAGGCAATCCCCAAAATGGCACATTCTCCCCATACTGGGTATCAACCCTTACTCCGAAGGCTGTAAAATCCATCAAATACATCTACCCCAATGTAAAATTCCTCGCAAGCCTCTCGGGCTGGAGCCTTGGACAAAAAGTACTCTCCTGGTACAACCCAGAAGACCAGGACGTCTGGATATTGAATGCATCTTCGAGCGATTTCAGTGAACAGCTTTGAAATGGACTAGATGGGATCGATATCGACTATGAAAGGTTCCCTAAACATCATGAAAGTTTTGCTTATTGCATTGGAGAAGTCATTGCTCTTCTAAAGAATAAGGGTGTGATTTCCGTGGCAACCATTGCACCATTTTACAGCACTGTCATTCCATACATTGAGCTCTACACAAGATATGGAGATTACATTGATTATGTGAATTATCAGTTTTATACAGATATAATTAAAACCCCAGAAACATATTTGGAAGCTTTTAGAAATAGGACACAACAGTTCGACAAAAACAAGGTTTTACCTAGTTATGAAGTGAGTGGGAGAGGGATACAAGGGGATGCATTTTTTGATGCTTTGAAACTAGTGGAAAATAACGGGTTTAATATTAGTGGGGCCATGATTTTCTCTGCTGATGCTTCGATCTCCAATGGGTTCTATTACGAGAAGAAAACGCAAAATTTCTTGATCAATAATTTGACTCGAGTTTGACTCGAGTGTGACGTCAGAAAAATATGGAAATAAGTTCAAATAGAAGAGCTCGCGGGATTGAACTTCCCTAGCAAGATCATGTCTATGAAAATACATTACATGTATTAATATATTTTCATAAAATAGTGATTAATTTTATTTTATGTTTGATAGTTTTGCTCAAACTATTCCGCAATGTTTTGTAAGAGAATGCCATACAGTGAATTTGGTACATTTCCATAGGAGAGATCGCCAAGTGTTGTGTTCTAATTGGTTGTGTGCGACACTGATTGCTCGTCGTAGAAAGCGTAAGCCGTAAAGTCTTTATTTGCATAGAGATTAGCATTTATTTGGAACAACAAAATTGAGTGAAAAATGATTTTTTTTTTTTTAATGCGCAGTTAAAAGTAGAGAAAAATTATGAGTTCCATATAATGTGAGATTGAGAATTATTTCGAGAAAAATTAATTTAAAAATAAAAAATCTAGCAAACATACCTTTAGTGTTTGATTGCTCTTTCTTTTTTGTGGAAGATGGAAATTAAAATCCATTTCCACATTTGTGCATGTTTGATTGACTAAATTTTCTATGGAATTGGTTTTCCATATTTTCTTGATTTTTCACATTTTCTTGATTTTTGAGGAAAAGATATTCCCATGAGTTTGGTGGGAAAAGCTTTTAAAGCCAAACGAACACCAAAAGATATAAAATTTCAATATTTTTCAGGTAAAAAATTATACCAATCAAACATAATTAGTTGATAATTCCTAATAAAACAAGTTTTAGGCAATTCAATTTCCTTGAATTCATTTTTCTTACCTCCCAAATTCCATTATTGCAATCAAACAGACCGTTGGAGTACAACTTAATTTAACTTTTAAAAAAAAAAAAATCTCTATCAAACATACTTGAAGAGCATGATTAAAAGTGTCACATACGTTGCATAAAATGCACTTAAAGACATTGTTTTGTTCTTAATTCAAATTACCAATTAATTAAAGTTTTTAAGACAATATATCGGTGATCAAAATGTCAAAAAAGTCTTATACACCAAATTAATATCATACCACTTTCATCCCATAAAGATATGCTTGATTTTATTTTATTTTTCGTTTGTCCCATATTATATGACACTTTATTAAAACTATAGATATCTTTTCGTTTTCTAATATATCTCTATTTAATATATCTTATTATCAACTGATGTGGAATTGTGGCTACAATCGAGCTCGAGGACAGCACTTGATTTCCATTACCAATTTTAAGAACATTAGTGCTCGAGCATATAACTCCTCGGGATACTCTCGAGGACTCGTCAAACGTAAAACGCTCGGAATGTCATTCTGGGTGTCCTCGGGATGTACGAGTTCGAGACTTCTCCTTATGACCCCCAAAGTACTACATGGTCGTACATCAGTAATCCTTATCGCTAGAGAATTCTCACCCTATCCAAATAGCTTATACTCAAGAGTCCCATGCCCAGAAGGTGTTTACGCCAGGAAACACCTCAAATAAAGAAAGTCTAGACTCCTAGTCACAATCAAACACTCACCCCGACAATCGTTGATGAAAATAAGGAGAGCAAGTCCTACAAGGAGTGAACTACCACCCAGCCCTATAAATATGACTTGGGACCATTATTGAGGTACATTTTTTACATATATTTTCAGCACATATTTTCTCTCTATTCTCTCAGACTTAAACATCGGAGCGGCGATGAGGACACACCTCGAAGCCTTTGTTTCAGGTACCGGAAGATCGCGTTCGTGCAAGTTATCAGTCGTCAAGCTCGGAATTGACCAGGTGTAATTTTTGGTAGCATCATCAACAAATATAGAGGTGTATCAAGGAAAATGTAAGAAAAAAATATATTTTTAACTATATTAATTATATTTTTTTTAATTTGTGTGAAAATAAAATAAGTATATCTTTAACGAACAAATATAGTATTTTTTTTTTTTTACTACATGGAGGAGGGAATGTAGGTGTGGATCAAACCTCCACCTACTCTTCCAGTAGACCCAAGATCTTGACCTTTTTGTTTAGACCACTGGAACATGTTTGATGTAAATTTTTTTAGAGCCTGTTTGGTACAAATTCTCATTTTCTACAGTAAATCAATTCTCATTTTCGACCACACATTTTTCAATAAAATAATATTTTTCCATCACATCAATACTTTTTTCTTCTTTTTCAACCACACATTTCCCATCATATCACTATTCAAAAATCAATTCTTATCCCAAACATAATAATAATACTTTCGTATGGATTTTGGAACAGCATAATTGAAGTTTTCTTCAATCGTTAACACCCCCAAACATTTAATTATTAACATTCGCCATGCTCGTGCACATTTTTCCTTGTGGAATCTTTACACGGAGCAAAGCTTTTGGTATTTCAATTTTCCTTTCCAAGATTTGGGCCTTCAATTTCGGTTGCTACGCATGTAAGTAGTCATTCACATTCCGTCTTTTTTGTCTTCACACCTCTATAAATACGTATGTGTTACACATTTGTCATCTTCATCCTCACTCTCCATAAAATCAGCTTACTTGCCATCGTTTGGCATTCAGATAATTGATCCACTATTTCCTCTTTCAGCAGAAATGGATCATTTGATCTTTTCTCTATTTTACCATCTAACTTAATATTATCTTTGGTATGGGAGATATAGAAAACATTTCTTTGGTCAATGAAGGTATTCTCAACACATTTTCCATTTATGATCTCCAGAGAGAGTTCTTGATGAGAGCCAATTGCTTGTTGAGTTCAATGAAGGGATTCTCAACACATTTTCCATTTATGATCTCCAGAGAGAGTTCTTGATGAGAGCCAATTGCGTGTTGAGTGTGCTTCTTTGACCGTTTGCCCATCATTGAAGCAATGCATTTAGGAAGGCGGCGGAGGCCAATCTGTAGTAGTTGATATAAGAACAGTAATAGCCTGCTTTCAATAAGGCTTATAGAACATTTTGTATTTTATATCTCATAGCTTGTAAAAAATATTTGATTAATGGAAAATGTTATTTGAATGCATTTCGTTCTAATTTTACTTGGACATAAGTGTCTAACAAAACTGTTTACTTATGCATCTATTTGTTCACTTTCCCATAAAGAAAGAACATATTTCTTTAAATATTTGCCATTAAAAAATCTCATATGCTTCGTGTCATCTAAATCTTTCAAATGGTAAGCCCAATTAGGCAACACACTCTTCACTTTATGTGGTCCTTCCCAATTGGATGATCATTTACCATATTTTGGATTTTTGCTATCCAAAGGGAGAATCATTTTCCAAACCAAATTGCTCAAGCTAAAAGACTTGGCTATAACATTTTTGTTATAGAATTTAGTCATTTTTCGTTTTTGAATCTGCAATCTATCTAGGACTTCCATCCTTAATTCGTCCAATTCTAATAAATTTTGGGCTAGTGATTCTGTATGCTCACCATCACTTAAATTATTTTCCAAACCCACTCTGATCGACTGCACGTTGATCTCCATAGGCAACACAACCTCTTGTCCATAAGCAAGTTGAAAATGAGTTACTTTGGTACTTGAACGTGGGGACGTCATGTAAGCCTATAAAACCTTTTTTAAGCATTCATGCCAATTCTTAGCATTTTCGTTTATAATTTTCCTTATGACATTTTTCAGAATCTTATTAGAAGATTCGATATGTCCATTAGATTGAGCATAATAAGGGGTAGGGTTTACGAGTTTAACTCCAAACTCCTCCACGAATTCCTTTACTTGATCTCCATTCAAGGAACTTTCGTGATCCATCATTATGGTTTGTGGTATCCCAAATCTATAAATAATGTGGTCACGAATAAAACTGATAACATTTTTCTGGGAAACCTCTTCAAAGGTATTCCTTCTACCCATTTAGTGAAGAAGTCTGTTGCGACTAGTATAAATGTATGTTGCTTGGACGATAGACAATATTACTTCATATTCACAAGTGAATTCCAAATTTAGCACATTTAAATAACCCGAATCCATTTAGGCTAATTCGTTTGCTAAATCGTTATACATATGTTAACGTATTGAAACTTCATTTGATCAAACTCTTCCAATAATTCTTGGTCGATTTCATATTGACTTATGATAAAATCACTTTAGCAGTTAAAATCACCAATCAATTGGTAAATTACTAATTGGGAATCGCCCCTAATCATTACATTCTTTATTCCCAACTCTAGTAGTAGCTCTAAACCTACCANTGATTACATTCTTTATTCCCATTTCTATTAACAGCTCTAATCTCAAGATCAATGCTTCATATTCACCTTGATTATTGGTGCACATTCTATCAAAAGTGAAAGAAAATTTATAACGAATCCCTAGAGGATTTATTAAAACTATTCCTACCCCCGCACCTCTAGAAATATTTGATCCGTCAAAATATAAAACTTAAGGTTTTATTTCAAATGAATCAACGTCCAATTCAATTTCTTTAGGCATGTCAAGGTATGAATGATCGGCCAAAAAATTAGTCAATGCTTGATTTTTGACTGCCTTTTAGGTTATATA